AACGACACTTGAATAATACGCATTATTAAAGATAGAATCAGCTAAAAACTTGTTAATGTTATATAATTTTCAATATGTATACATACATATATGAAGATTTGATAACTGTGTTAATAGGCATTTCATTAAAATAACTTTTCTCTCCTCCTACTATTTTTTTTTGCATTCTAATCCTGTTAACAAAAGATATCACGATAAGTGAATACATGCGGTTATTTTGCAAAACAAAAAAAATAGATTAAATTACTTCATAAATCAAGTACATATAAAGAAAAAAAAGCACTTTTGAATTAGGTTTTTATTGAATAAATCGAATTATTTTCTTTTTGTTTTTTGATAATTCTAAAAATTCCATAAAAAATATCAATGTCAATTCACCTTGGGGTATTAGCCAGAAAAAAAAAAGTTTATTTGATAATCAAGTACTGCTATTCAGAAACAATTCTCTTTCAAACATTCAAGCAATTAATGCACATTAATATATCTGCTATTCGATGTCAATTATCTTTTTCTTTGTCTCTCGTTTTTTATCAATGAACAGATTCCATAATCCAACAGTAATAATCGTCTATGATTTATAAAGAAGATTTAGTAAACACTCGCTATTCAGTAATATTTTCTGTCTTGATATCTTAAAACATATTCATATTACTTTTCATTTTCTTTCGTATATTTATCACTTGTATAACGAGACAAGTGATCATGAGAATATTTTTTTTTTGTTTAAACATGTATCACATTGAAGTATTTGATTAGCAAATACTTATTCTAAAAAGCATCATGTCTAACTATATATAAAATGAATGGGCAAAACACATAGAAGTATTTAATACTATATCTGATTGTTTAATACCCAAATGTCCAATGTAATAAATGTTTCTTTTTTTATTTTATCTGATATACAAAAAATGACAATGATGAAAGAAAATGTTCGACAATTTTTTATTTTTTGTTCAAAGCATTGATTTGCCGCTATTCGTCTTTACTCTTCTTCACTTGACTGAATCGTGAACTCGATGATAAGATTATCTTGATTCCATATAGATATTCTTATCATTAGTCATGCTGAATTTAAGATCTATCTATTTAATCGATAGTAATGGAATTGTTACAATGTCTGCAAGATCGTTGTTTGATTTTTCTCGTCTCATCGACGAATTACACTATATTAATCAGTATCATAAATGAATTCATCTATTTTCTTCTTTCCTCTTTTCTTTTCAGCTTATAAAACGAGAGAAAAGAAAAAGAGAGAACGAACAACAAGAGAAATAACGATGAATGTTCAGAGCATATGTATGTGTAGAAAGCGTCATTATTCTCATCCTCTAACAATTATCGCATTTCTTTCTTACATTTATTTGTTGTTGCCCGTCTGTTGATACACTTTAGAATCATACAATCAAATATGTTTCTATTATTATAATAATAACTATTATTTGAATTCAATCAACAAAGAAAAAATAAATAAAAACAAAAAACAAATCATGATCATATTTTTATTATCATATAGTATTTATATACTTTTATTATTTCAACAAAATACTATCAATGCATGTCCATCTGTATGCTTATGTCATGGACCTAATATTGATTGTAGCAATCGAGGTTTACATATAATACCATCTGGAATACCCAAAAATGTATTTAAACTGTAAGTTCTTTTTTCTTTTTTTTTGTTGTTATCTATCATATTAAAAAATATATTTGAATGTGAATGATTGAATTAGATCAGTGTGTAAATTGTTAATGATATCATTACGCACAATTGAATCTTTTAGGTATCTGTTTCTATGATGTAATCTAAATAATGAATCAAAGAGTTTCTCATATTTCCTAATAAATCTCTCGATGGCCTTTTTACGTCCTTCACAATAGAGATATTTGTCATTATGTTACTTTATTTCATTAACAACTGTATGTTATTGTTATGCAACTATTCAGTTAGTCTCGATTGATTTAAATTCTGCTAAAGATATTTGTAGACAGATACTTTTTCTTTTTCGCTCTCTGTTGTATATATCTATATTACATCATCGAATCTATTTATACAACGGCAAGTATTTATATCAATCGTGATGTATGAAATGGAACAATATCAGTGAGATATGTTGTACATGCACTTGAGTATTTCTCATTATATTAATGAATGATGTTTGAAAGATATTATATTGTACATATATATGTATATATATATGTATGATGTTTTATAAATAAAAAGTCAAGTACATATCATTGATCAATCAAATGAAATCTTCACGAAAAATTATAATTACAATTGATCAGAAGAATAATTGAAAAGTTTCTTTTTTTTTTTTTTCTATCGGTTATATCATCTTGACACCAATAGAAAAAGGCTTGACGTGTCAATGTAAAGAAGAAGAAAAAAAGAGCAAAGTACTAATATATTACATTGCATTAATTCACTATGTCATAGTTATGAATTATTAGGGAAATGTATATTTTAATCAATGAATTCATCACTATATAAGTTAATTAAAATGAGACAAAATATTCTAATACTGAAAAAAAGTTCAGACGAGAGTCAGGAGTTGGTCTGTTCAAATCGGAATACTATCCAATTGGATAAGGATTGTTGAGATTAATGCTCAATGAATCTGTTGGACTAATATGAAGTCGCATTGATGTCCAGTAGGTTTGGCATCCGTAGTCTTATTGAATTGGTATATGTCTAGTGAACAGATTATTGTTACACTCACCAGTCACTTCATATTTATTATTCTTATAATCATTTACAATAAACTTAATAATGAAAAAAAAAAAACAAGCTTATACGAACTATGACATTATATCGTTTATTTTATTGTTTTGTTTATAGAGACTTACAATTGAACAATTTATCAATTATTCAAAAGGATGACTTAAAAGGCCTTCGTCAACTACGTATATTGTAAGTATGATTGATGATAAATATATACAAATCAATTGATCGTTTCTGTTAGTTTTCATATAAAATATAAGATGACATGAATAGGTGATCATCTTTCGAATTCTTCTCTTTTATTTATTTTATTGACAAGGTTAAGTACGCTGTTTTTTCTCTTCTACATATTCGTATCATGACAAGGTCAAGTAGTCAGACATACAAACAAAGAGAAAATAATTTGTTATTATTTTGAGTAATTAGAAAATCTAATTTTAAAATCATATACATAGAAAAATTTAAAATTTCTCTTTTGAGAATATTTGTTTTTTTTTTTGATGATTCTTATTTTTCTTTCATGTATAGAAATCTTCAAGACAATCAAATACATACAATTAATATTGATGCATTTCGAGATTTAATATCATTACAAAAATTGTAAGTAAAATTAAAATCAAACAGTGCTTTTTATCTTTACTCTTTTATATACTATCATCATTATATATTCAAAGTTTTAATGGTCAATAATTATCAAATTGTTTGTAACTCCCGCTATGATATTCTTAAAATTGCAGTGAACAATAAGAATATAAACACTTGATTTGTATGATTGGTCATGTCATTAGTCTGAATATGTATTGTTCGTTACATTGAACAGACACAATAAGAGAGATTTATGGAAATGAACAAAT